GGTCAACCCACTTCTATAAATCGAAAGTAGACTGCGACCATAATAGAATCCATAACATCTTGGTCTTCATATCTTGAATAGGAACTTTATTAACTTTATTTCAAAGCTGTAATCACCAAATTTCGTTTAAGCTTGTGGAATTTTCCAACATTCATGAGTAGGCCTCAGGTTTCCGTTAAAGTTTGCATAACCTTGTATAGTAAAACATATTCATATACACGGTCGCCTGCACTTTTGATCTCATCTCAGCTGGATTCGAACCCGATTTGAATTTGTACAACGCAGAGTCTCGACACCCTTACCTCTACGTCACACTGCCACGAGGGCCCTTGTATCACAGAGTAGATGTGAATTTCTACGAAGGCTAGGACTTTACCAAATCACATTTCTCCGGTAGCATTGTACTTTCTATTAAAATCCATTACATTACTTATTTTCCACTATGAGATCGAACCTAACATCCGACCTGGCGTAAAATTCTAACAACGTTAGGCTTAACTTCACGATGTCCTTTGTCTAAGTGCGTTGACCCTATGCTCTTCCCATTTACCCTTTTCATGTGAGTTGGCCGGCCGAGGCACACAAACCTAGATACACGCATATGGTGACTATTTCAAGGAAATGTAAATAATAATTTTCTTGCGTGCTGAGGCTGAGATAGGCAGTCTCGACTCGAATCCCGGATTCTCAACCGAATTCTCTGTTTAATTAAAAGTGGACACGCCCATTTCTCAGTATTTACGAACAGGTGCTCATTCAAATTCCGGCTTCAGCTGTGCCGCCTCGTTTATGTGCAGATTTAATTATGAAAGCATATGGTACTTGATGTACGAACTTGAAGCAGGCCTACTAACAGCAACCAATCTTGTGTTCAGGGCGTTGCGATGAGAGGAAGCGATGTAGGCGAGGCGCCAGATTAAAGTGGGTTGACAGTCTGGTTGAGTGAGAATGCGAGAGGACATTTGTGTACGCAGAAAAGTGAGAAGGGAAAGGGAGTGTAAAATGTAGATTAAGATGAGAAAACATGAAAGGAGAAAGATAGGAAGAAGAACGAAGAAAGGAGGCAAAAGGGAAGGTCATGAGGAGAGTTGGCCATAAGTTACGAACTATGACGAGGTTGATTTATGACTTAAATCTGTCCTTATTTTTCCGTCACATTTCTGAACTCATTTACTTCAGCTATGCGATTCTCTAAGCGAACAAGAAATTAAAAAAGTCCGTTTAGACAGCAGAAGGCGGGGGGCGAAGGAAGAGCAAATGGGGCGCGACAGCAAGGCTATACCTGTTGCCTTGACAACAACATGGTGGCGTCCATGTAAAGCTGACGCAAGAGCTATGAGCTCGAAGATCATCGCATCTTTTCATGAATGACGTTCAGAGAAAGTAAGCTTTCGAGTTCCAACTCTTTAGGTCGATTAGGGTGATGGACTGACGGTTGAATTTTCCCACAATCGTAAGTAGGCCTTTCATTTCCAATCAATTTCCCTTAGTTTTGCGTACCAAGAGGAAAAGTGCATACAATTGAATGTGTATGATGAAGAGATTCGTTGATTGGTCTCACCGTAAGATGAAGAAGACGAAGCCAAACTGCGGCATATCAGCAGAAATCATCCATCATTTTACGGATCACTTTCATACGAAACGAAGTCTACACGACTATGTTATTATAGGAAATTTTTTCGAAACCAGCTACTCTCCCAACGGGTATTCTCCCCCTGGGTGGACTGCAGTGTCGACATCATCACCCTAATTCAGCTCCCATACCACTCGACTAGATAATCATAGATTGGACAGGCCTGGTGCATTGTCTTGAAGCCTACTTAGATCAAAAATAACATCGAGTCCTTTAAGAAATAATTTGCAACGCTGTTTCATCGAGTTGCCTTAAGCTGGGCCGCTAATTACTCAGTTTTACATAATTTCTATAACATCCTGTCATGCATGACTTGTATATTAGTCGGAAACCTAAAGAAGGGTAATTTTTATCTATACTTGCTGATTCGAGTGCAGTCGTTCTCTACGATGTGATTCATCCATGGTTAACTTTCGTCTGCATTGCTGACACGGTCTCAGCCTAAAACAATAATTTAGGAAAACTTCAATAAGCACTAGGCTATGGCTCTCGCATTTTCAGTCAGATTGTGTTTTATATTCACTCTATTTCATACCTGGTAATCTAACCTGGGTAGATCCATGTTTCAGCTTGACAGCAAATCTTAGTATTCAAGATTATAATGGAAGAATATGACTTGTGTGTTTATGAGTAGGTTTAAGAGACTACCAGTAGATCTGATAAGAGTTATATTCACCATATTTTATTTAAAGTGAGGAACGACTCGTAGTTGTTTTCATTGAATTTCCGAGTCTTGTTTCCCAAAAGTAATTCTCATCTAGGCAGGAGTGGACTGCCGTTTCGACCTCGTCTGAATTAATATCATCAGCAGCCTAGCGGGACTCGAACCATGAAAACGCAGCGTATACTCTTGGCCAATATACCACACTACCATAGTCACCCTATGGAAAAAGTGGGCAGAAGTGAATTTCAAGCAAGCAATAGCTTTTTCTATGTCACGTTTCCGTGGTAATAGTGTCGACGAAGCAAAGTGGTATTTGCTGTAGAATCAAGAATATTCTTGAAACCACCGGTAAATCTGTTATAAGTGCTGAATTCACTCTATTTGGTTTCACAAACCCAGGGTTGGAGGCGAAATCGCAGTCCTCTCCTGCATTTATGAGAATACCTTTTGGGTAGTAGGCATAATCATATGATTGTGAAAAAATTCAATTTCGAATCCTCCATCACCTAAACATAATATCAACAGGTAGTTTGTAAAACTTTGTAGTTTCCCATCGCATCGATTATGCTACTTATATTGAGAGCCTTTTATTCGCGATTATCCAAAAACTTTGAATATCAAGAAGTGGGTTGACCTCGTTGTCTGGGCAGGTTAGTAAACACACCTAGTCCGAAGTCGTCTGCCAGCATCAGACAATGGACTTGGTACATTCTCAAGCGTTTCCCCGGCATCAAAGTCGGTATCATGAATGAGTTTTGAGAATGGGAATTACGACTTCGGACTAGATGCGTTCTACTAAGTCGACCTGACAACAAAACCAAGTTGCGACAACGAGGTTAGACACAT